ATTGAGCCATAGCAGTTAAAGCAGTGTCAAACTGGATTATTTCTTCTCAACCCTCACTAGGTCCAAATTGATCTTCCAACAACACAATTGAGGATCACTGGTTGCTGTGGTGTCAATAGCTTGTAATTTACATCTTTGACCCAAAACTTTGTGTCACAGGCTGTCAACACCTGTGCTCACAAAGCTCTTAGTCTGAGTTTCACAGCACCTGACACCATTCCAGGAACGTGTGTAATTGCCCTATTCAGAAGCAAATCTGAAGTCTAATAAAAAGCTGTCTTTCTTTATAACTCCTACACTTATAGACTGGACTAGGACAAGAGAATCTCTGGTATACATGTCTTGCCTTATAATTTGCACAGCCCTGCAGATGAAGATGGGTGTTCTTGGTGTTAAATACATAGGAATTGGGAGAAGAAACATTGACGCTTTGGCACAAAAACCCCTAATAATAGCTGATAATGAGGCAAAGATTGCAGTAGCAGGTTGTTCCAGTGTCTTTGACCTGTGTATTAGCCAAGGGCAAAAGGGCCAGTGTGGTGCAGTGGTTTGAGTATTAGATTGTGACTCTGGTGACCAGGATTTGATTTCCAGCTTTGCCATGAAACCCAAAACCCACCGGGTAACCCTGGACAAGTCACATGCTCTCAGCCTCAGGGGAAGGCAATGGCAAACTTCCTCTGAACAAATCATACCAAGAAAACCCTATGATAATTTTTTTTTCTTAGGGTCACCATAAGTTGGAAACAACTTGAAGACACACAACAACAACAATAATCAACAGCGGGCATCAGACTGGAAGTTGCTATCAAGACACTGCAATTTTGCTTCCTCAACAATCAGTGTGTGTGTATCCTCTGTGACAGTTGTTCAGAAGTATCTTGGGCCTTTCCATTTGGGACACAAGGCGTGACCTACATATTTATACACATATGGTCTTTTTCTCTGACAATAGCCACTATGTGCTGCCTTCTGTGGAGATTTATGTGTGCTCATGGCAGGAATAATCTGCCCAGGACAGCTGTGTTTGGTCTGTTCAGGGAATAATGGTTCACATTAACTATAGTTTACAATGTTAATTCTTTGAAAGCTGGCCGCATGAACATTCCCTGAATGTGCATCAAATTAATTTTAACACCAGCTGTCCTGGTGGCTCAGGGAACAGTAAACTGAAGCTTGCTTCTGAAGGTCCAGCGTTCCACTGTGGCTGGCTGATAGGGCCAAATTTGAACTCTTAACTAAAACTTCTGTTATAGACCATTTGGGAGTCTTTGGGCCACTTCTGCTCTATATCATATCCGAACTCTGACCAGAGCTTGGAAATAACTAGGTGCAACGCTTGATGATTCCCTTTTGCAGTAACTAGGGCATATTGTATATACTTGTGTATAAGTCTGGAACTTTTTCCTAGTGAGGTTACTGTGGGTTATGGCCACATAGGGACCACAACAAGGATGCCATTCCCACATTGCAGAAAAATTGAACATTTTCTGCTCCTTTTCTGCAGTAATGGGGAAAGAACCCTGCTGGCTCTAGTGGGATTGTCATTGAGTTCAGCTGTTCTTCTTTTCTGGATTTCTTCTTTGAATCGGGTTGAGATGATGGAGGTTATCACACTAGGGCCAATTCCATTAAGTTCCACCATTAAACTGTTATTATACTGTTATTGGCAAAGAACGAGACAATAGTGCTATGACAACCTATTGTTTTGCACAGTCACACAATTACACTGTATTAACATTTTAAAAACAGCAAAATAGCACTTTTACCTTCTGCACATTGATAGGCTGTGTCCTGTGAATGCGAAGTCTCGCGCCTGCACAGATGGACCAGAGGTGATATGTCTTTATTAGGGAGCAGGTTGAAACTTGGTATTCCTTTACTGGGGGAAGGGGCCAGCTCTCCCAGTTAGGATGGAGGAAAGTAATTAGTTATTCCAGAAGCCCTGCCGAGTGATGTATTCAAGTCTTTTATTCCAAGTCTCTACCTTCAAGTCGAATCTCAAGTTCTTGCAAGATACTTTTAAGTCAAGTTGAATCTCAAGTCTGGGAGCCAACTAACAGCAAAAAAAGGGTAGTGGTGGTGGGGTATGTGTCGGGGGTGATGGAGTTTCAATAACTAGAAAATCAAGAAAACATGGACATAGGTAAAAAAAAGTTATCATAGGTAATTTATCAAAATTGCATTAGAAAAATGAGGTCTACTCGGCAGCCTGTCACCATTGCACATTGGAGAACCTTGTAAAGCTTTTCTTAACAGCAGCAGGCAAGACTCGTCCCCATAGTGTGAAGCACGTTTCTTGGAGGGGAACAGCAAACGTGATAGGCTTTTGGCAGGGCTCTACCGTTAGTGGGGGCTTCCTGTATGTCAAATGCGAAGTACTGCTTCCATCACATGACCAGTAGGTAAAAAGCAGTGAGATGGAAGCAAAGGAGGAAAAACATTTTTCATTCTCTAATGCAGGGGTAGGGGTAGGCAACCTTTCCCCTTTAAGGGTCGAGGGACTTCAGCTCCCAGAATCCCAGGAGCTATTGGCCAACATGGCTGAGGCTTCTGGGAACTGAAGTCCTTTGGCCCTTAAAGGGGAAAGGTTGCCTACCCCTGCTCTTAATGTTTCTGGTTTTTAAATCCCTTTTCTGCATGCCAGCAGGTCATTTGCTAAAAACATACAAATCATAAGTCAAGTCAAGTCAGTGCATCATTCTTTGCTGAGTCAAGTCTGAGTTGAGTCATTGGACCTTATCACACAGAGGCAAATTGTTTAAATCCCATGCAGAAACTGGATTAAAAAACCCGAAAACCCCCCACAAAAGTGGATTGTTTTTTAGACATATTTGTGTAAAGGAGAAATAATGCAACATTAACCTGAATGGAAAGTCGCCTAAACCCGCTCCTTTTTTACTTTCGGAAGTTCCCAAAAGTAAAAAAGAGCTGGTTTTGTCGGCTTTCCATTGGGTTATTTTCACATTATTTCTCTTTCACGTAAATGTCATCTGAAAAACAACCCGCGATTGCAGGTTTTGTCTACTTTCTGTTCTGGTTAACCCTGAACATCATGTGAAAAACAACTCGCAAAAGTGGGTTATTTTCACTTTAAATCTAGTTTCTGAACGGGATTCTTCCCATGTGATAAGTGACTTGAGTCTGAGTCAGTTGACGTGAGTCTACATCACTGGCCCTGCCTCTGGAGTGTGTGCAAGGAGCAAGGAATCCCCATTAATACAGAAAAGGAGTCTTCACAGTGAGTCCCAATATTCTGTTTTAAAATCTGTCCTGAATTTCCAACTCAGCAAAGTCACCATATGTAGTGAGTATGAGGAGAGCACAAGGTGACTGTGTACCAATGTGCATTGAGAGTGTTGCTTGACAACTCATGATGTCTCTGAACTTGATACTTGCAAGAGAGGTTAGCATACTAACAATGGCTTTTTGCAGTCACTAATATACTGTAATGATTTTATGATGCTGGCACTTGGATTTAATTCGTTAAGCAGAAAGTGTGAGGAAGTGCATCCCTTAAAGTCACGGAGAGGTTAACCTTACTATTTTGGGTTATGCTTTTACAACCTTAGATATTTATAAACAGTCTCTGTTGCTTTCCTTGGGACTGGGAGTATTCCTGTTGTCATGAAAAACAGCCCTGGATCCCATCTTGAGAGTAAGGCAGGATAGAAGTGCAATAAATAATAGAAAAGAATAGAATATAAATAACATTTTTAAAGATTTGTTCATCTGAAAAGCTAGATAAATTGCAACAACAATTATAATTGTTAATGAGCAATTACAGAGCACATTCTGCAAGAAGTTATAATTTCTTAGCTTAGCTATCTGTGTCTTGCAAAGCAATAAGGAGAATTTTACTTCATACTAGTTATGGATGCATGATAAAATTATGGTTAAATGATTGTCAGCATGAGCTGCCTTTCAATAAATGATTTTATCAACTTATCATAGAGGGTGGCCTGGTATTGACCTCCCTTTGTGATGAATGCTCTCTCTTCTTCCTCTTTTGTGCCTGTTTTAAATAATCAATGAGAAGAATTATTGCTGACTGAGTGGTAAAGGTTCTAAGTTTCCTCTTAGCATTGTAAGTGTGGTTATATAATACCTTTTTAATTTTATTCACATGTTTTATGCAGTTTTATTTGTATGCTGACATTGTATTTCAAAATGCTCAACTGCAGAACTAGAAATCTGGGGAGCCAAGTTCTTATTTGTAGGTGCAAATGTTCTCACTCCCATCCCCCTTTGCTATACTGTGCTAAGCTGAAATATTGTGCATTGATTCATTTGGTTACACTGGGAACATACCCAGGCATAAATTATTTAACAGTTGCTTTCTTGCTCTAAGGAACTCTGGGAAATGTAGTATCTGGAGAGGCATGGCTGATGATCTCTACTAAAGTATTACCAGCTTCTTTACTAGACTACAATTCCAGAGTTCCCGGGGAAAAGCCATGAAAGCTATAATGTTATAAAACTTAGTAGCCACATGCACAGTAAATTCTGTTTAGCTGCAGTAGCTCTATTTCTCGACCTAGTTTATTTATACATTTATTTATTTATTATTATAATGATGGGTGGTATATTTATTTAACATTATTTATCATGTTAAGATTTAGAAATAATGTTAAATAAATATACCACCCTTTATTACAGTACTGTTTCCCCAAATGCAAGGCTTCCAAAATGTTTTGTCATGAGTTAAAAAGACAACAAAAGTATAGTATCATAAAACTATGAAGTAAAATAGTAGATGACACAGAAAAAATGGCCATAAAATATTTATCACTGGCAAGATTTCGAATGCTCAGGTGAACATTTGATCTGGCCACGTTGGTTTGTTGCTGTATGCCTTCAAGTTGTTTCTGACTTCTGGTGACCCTAGATAAAACCTACCATGGGGTTTTCTTTGCAAGTTTCTCCAGAGGGGGGTTGCTATTGCCATCCTCTGAGGCAGAGAGAGTGTGACTTGCCAAAGGTCACTCAGTGGATTTACATGGCTGAGCCAGGATTTGAACCCTGGTCTCCAGAGTCATTGTCTAATGCTCTAACCACTATACCATGTGGGCTCTTTCAAATCTATTTGCATTGCTTTATAATAGAATTAATTACCTATCATTTAGGCAGTCCTATTCAGCATACCGGTACTTATTCAACACATTTATATGAAATGGTACTTTGCTTGTATTCTTTTTGGATTACTGTAACATGCTGTGCAAGAGGCTGCCCTTAAGGATTGTTTAGAAATTTCAGCTGACACAAAGAGCTGCAACCAGAATGTTAATTGGGACCGTTTCAGGGACTATAAAACTTCCCTGCAACAACAACTGGGTGCCAGTCTGTTTTTGGGCACAGTTCAAACTGCAGGTTATGACCTATGAAACCCTATATGACTTGGGTCTAGGCTATCTACAAGTGGCATCCATCCTATATCACATGGGGGATATGATATAGGATGAATGCCACTAGACTTCAGAATGCCCTTTCCAAGGATGCCAGAATTGACATCTCCTTCCTGTCCTTCTGTTGGCAAGCCAAACTTTTTAAAAAAAATCTGAGAGGCTTTTAGAGGGTAAGGTTTTTAAAGAAGGAGCCTTCAAGAGGGTGGTGTATCGTTTTTATTGAAATGTTTTAACCTGCTTTTTATTCTTTTAAAAATACATTTTAAGTTGTTCAAATATTGTTAAGTAGTTTAATTCTGATATAATGTTGACCTTCGTTATGTTTTTAGCTATAGCATTCTTGTTTTAAGTTGTAAATCTCCTTGAGACTAAATTTTGGGGGGAAAGCAGGGTATAAATAAAAATTAATAATTGGATTTCCTCTCCCCTCCACCTTAAACACCTAAAGGATAAATAGGTTGGGGTCAGGTGAGCATCCTTGCAAAGGGCATTCTGGAAGTGGCATGCCACCAACAAGAAGGTTCTCTTTCTTGCTGGTATTAGCCTTGCTTTTGATGAAGAAGGCACATGGGAAAGGGCTGCAAGACCTGCAAATCCTAGAGAGATGGCCTCACCATATGAGCCTTTTTGATAATATTTGAGGTCTCTGTACTTGGTTCCCTCTATCTAGAATTTTTGGGAATCATGCAGCCCTCGTTATAGTTGGACTGTAAATCCCAGCAGTCCTAGTTAACATATGGTGTGGGATGCTGGGAACTGCAGTTGATTTGCAGGGCCATATGATTGTTCTCTTTGATCTAGGCTGACCACATCATGCTGCAGTCTTCTTGATGGTTTGTGGAACAGCCTTCTTGAGGAAGTCTGTGTTCCTATTTGCTGTCATTTGACTGGGGAAGGAGCTGAAATGGCTTGATCCAGAAAGTTGCTTCTAGAGAATAACTTTTTGTTTTTGTTTTCAGGGATATTATGGTTTAATGATTGCTAGTTTTATCGAGTACGTTTGGAAACTTGGAGTACAATTGCTTAAAAATACATAATATAGTTAGGTTGTTTGCTTCCAAATGTTCAGTAATGCAGGCATCTTTAATATACCTGACCCTCCACATTGTCTCTGATACTATATGGAAATAAGTGTAAATAGGGCATTAATGTGCTGAAAAATTTCCAAAGCTTGCAACATATATTTTGTTCATTTTAGTTGGTCCTATCAAGGTATCACTGTTTTGTAGGTTTTGTATGTGATTGTGCTTCAGATCAGCCCTGTTTTATTACTCTTTAGAAAGGTTCCAGATTGCCACTTAAAAATAAAATAAAAGTGGAAGAATGGAGAACTAAAATGTACGAAACATATGAATTAGAAAAATTGACGTGGTTAGGTCAAAATAAGTCATTAACGGAATTTCATATAGAGTGGAACCTCTGGTACAAGTATGAAAATAAAAGGGTAAAAGATTCTATTCAATTTATAAGAGATTAGAGAGATATAACAGATTTTATAAAAGAAAGATTTATAAAGATAAGGTAAAATGTACGGATATTTGGTATAATTATAGGAGGCAAAGTTTAAAATGTTTATAGTTTAGCATAAAGAAAAAATTACTACATACAAATATAATATTAAGGCTAGTAGTTTAAAGATATTTATATAATATTTATATTGATATAGTAATGTTGGAGTCTGGATATCTGTTTTAGTGTTTATAATAATAATAATAATAAGGCTTAAATAAGTATATTTAGAAATGATGTATGGAGTAATGATGTATGAGAAGAGAATGTTGAGATGGAAATGAGAGAGTAATCATTTTAATTTAATAGAAAGTAACGCACCGAAAAGAAAACATGGACCAAGATGTACAAGTATTAATGATTAAGAGTTCCATTGATAAAGAAAAACAGCTAATCCTTTGCAATGACCATGGAAGATAGATGTTGTTTGTATTTGTATTTGTAATTTGTATTTGTATTTGTAATGTGAGTTGTAGTGTGTACTTGTATCTGTATTAATGTATTTGTTTTGTTGTTTGTTTGTTTCAAGTTTTTCTAATAAACTTTAAAAAAATAAAATAATGATGGGCTTCCTCATAGAAAGTACAGGGAGAAGGGGCAATTGTAGGAAAGGTGAGGGCAGGTGGTTCAGGGTGGAAGGAAGACATGTTTTCCGTTTAATTTTTCCTCAAAGAATTGCATTCCATAAATCCTTTTCCTCTCTCTAACTCAGTGTTTCCCAAACTGTGGTCCTCCAGCTGTCTTGGATGTCAACTCCCAGAAGCCCCAGCTAGCTTGGCCAGCAGTCAGGAATTCTGGGAGTTGAAGTTAAAAACATCTGGAAGACCAAAGTGTGGGAATCACAGTCACAGGGTGACCAGAGGTCCTCCTTTTGTCCCCCCAGGACCTGTCCTCCATTTCAACCTTTCTGTCCAGGA